CCGAATTGGATACATCTTTAATATCAACAAAGGGAGTGGAGGTTAAGAGTCAAAAAACCAGAAGACCATACATTACTCGCGATATAGCGGAGGAAGTCCTCAAGAAATATCAAATGTGTGTTTTGGCGGGCAAGAAGTTGACATACAATGGTGTAGACGTGTTAGATTTTGTTCGCTCAAACATGAATAAAGATAAGACTACAAAAACCCCTCTATGTATTGGTGTTATTAACGTCCATAATCCCGACTGTACCAAGTTTTTACCCGACGACTTTAAACACTTTATTGCCAACCAACTTCAAGACTCCGAGATCAAGGCTGTCTATTTTGCTACCGAACAAAGCATCGATAAGTTTGTGGTGGATTGTGAAGTAGAGGTATTGCAATTCTTGGAGAAGTTCCATGACGTAGGGGATTTGGAGTCTTTGGCGAGATGTCTGAATGAAAATCCAATTGATATGTCCGTCGCATCGAACGATCTTATTTATGTGCGGACCCTCTTCGATCATTTCTTCTTTTTATACAAGAATGACATTCTACTACAGTCCATGTCTGAAAGCGAGCTTAATGCGTACGTTTGGACTCCGTTACTTAGGAATGCCTTTCTCGGAAAGAATGATATGAAATTAAGTTGTGGGGAGCTAGCTTCTAAGTCATACGAAAAACTCAAAAGAAATCCTAAACATTGCTGGTCGTAGTGCTCCAAAGTTAGATGGCAAAGGATTCCTCAAATCTTTAGACACCGAAATCCTTGCTCAAGAAGACGGTGTCCTAAACACCCACAGCAAAAGGACAGGAGATCTCCGGAAATTAGAGTATTGCTCCAAAGTGATCCTCACAACCCTATTCTTTGTGTTACCATCCGCTGCCAAAGCTGATATCACGAGCATCGAGACTTACAATCTTCAATCGAATGGATTTCATCTCAAAATTTCTGCATCGAAGTATTTGTTTGAAGATACTATTGTTACAATGGATTTACAGCATGTGGAAGTCCCAAGGACTGTGGAAGGATTTTCTAAGCTGGTGGTTGGTGCAAAAACAATTCTGTCTTGGAAGGCGCGGACTAAGAATAATACGATGACTTTTTATGAGGCATTGAAGAAAGGTCATAAACGCCTAACAAATGGGGTCTTTTTTTCGCCAATAAAGATAGCTGTATAGATTGGATCTGAGTGGATTGTAAATTACAAAGGAGAATCTCATTTTAGTTCTCAACTTCGATGTAAATTGGAATTATCACGAAATGAGTTTTTTCCTATTGCCTTATGTAATCAAAAAAATCTTAGTGTATTTCCTTCAGGCTATTTTATAATTATGACACACATGTCCTGGCTGATATACGTATTTCGTAATCTAAATAAAGCTTTACCTTTGTGGATCTTTTATTAAAAGGTTCATTCCTCATTTTGTTGTAATCTCTGATGTATGTCCAATGAACATTGCATGCAAGCTCGAAATGCGTATCGGCTATGACTGTTATAAATCTTAAGTCAAATTCTTGGTAAGAGCAATGTTCCTATAGATTTACATGATAGCGCATTCATATAATCCCTAACTCCTTGAGTTTTTCTAGAATAACTATGTGTGGGTCTTCGTAATACCATATTTCGATAAGAACGATCCAATTTTCTTCGCAGAGTTCTTTTTTGATCCGATCACGTATCAATTGCTCCCTAAAGTCTTCTTCATTTTTGTGAAAATGTTTTACGTGTTGCTCATGTTGTTTGCCTTGCACTTCTATGGCAAATCCATACTGCGGATAGTAGATATCAAGCTCTAATCCTCGAGGATACTCTGGTGTTTTCAAGAAATCTGGTTTGTGGATGTCAGAGGGTGGGCCAAGAATATTAGTTATGACTTCGCGACATAAGTTTTCATGTTTGTTTAAGCAATATGGACACCATGTTTTAGAGTGCTTTATACAATTGAAACTTGTGGACCACTTATGACCCTTACTACACATCCATTGCATCGGAACACAGAGATTTATATATTCTGTAGAAAGACAGATACCTCCTCTACTGTGAGCGATTTCCTTAGCTTCCATAAGACCACAAGGAAAATTACCAGCACATTGTGAGCACCATCTTCTCATGTTTTTTATTCGATAAAGAGTTGTAGACCATTCATGGCCTTTGATACATCTCCAAAACATTGGAGTAGTTGCATTAATATATTCTGTAGAAAGGCATTTACCACCTCGTTCTTGTGCAATATTTTTCGCTATATCAATATTGTATTGTGGTTGACCATGTCTTTGCATTTGTGTAGCATGACTTTGGACTGAAATACATTTTTGGTCAGGTATAAGAGATTTTCGGCCTAGTGTACTACATCTTGGACACCAAGTTCCCTTAGAATATCCCTTGCTGAAGCTTTCCATTTATGGCCTTCTTTACACTGCCATTCAAGAGGATCCCGTCTATTAATATACTCAGTTGCAAGACAAAAACCTCCCTTTTTTTTCTGCAAATCTCTTCATATCTTCAATCGTTCGAGTACGACGATTTCCAATAGCACACTTTGGACACCAGGTATTATTATTTTTTACACTATGAGGCCTAGCAGACCATTCATGGTTTTTAATGCATTTCCAAAGCATCGGAATATTATTATTAATGTATTGTTCAGAGAGACACACACCCCCTCTACTATGTGCAATTTCTTTAGCAATATCTATAGTTAATTTTGTCATTAATATTGTATATCAAATTTTTAAAAGAATTGCTTTATTCCTCCCTTTAAATTCCGCTTCTCTATATTTACTTAGCCGACCTCTAACTCTCAATATATTGATTTTAAAATATTAAAGATATGATTATAGCACTACGTGCCTGACCAAACACGTGATTTATTTCAAAATTTAAATAAATCTATATCTTGTATAAAATGATGGAAAATCCACAATCCACAATCGATTCATTAAGAGAATTGAATTCCAAATTCTTAGTTGAGATCACTGAACTTAGAAAGAAGTTTGCTGAGGTTAAAGCTGAGAATGCGGAGCTTAAACACCAGAATACAAAATTAAAACAAATAATAGAAGAAAATGCAGAGTTTAAGGCCAAAATCATGAAACTGGAACAAAATCGAGAAGCAGAATCAAACTATATTGCAGGCTCCAACCAGTTCATCATTACCAGTAACACCCCAATTATCTCCCCCGCCACCTATCGAGAACCACTCTGATAAGGAATATAGCGTCAGCGTCAACGCGAGCCAGATAAAAGCTGAGCCTATATCATTAGAAGATAAGGAGGTCGATGATTTCGTAGATTTAACACATAAGGAACAGGTCAGTAATGAGATGATTCAGAGCATTAGGGAGAAGAAACTTCGAGATCAAGAGTTACTCTCAACTCCCGAGAATAATATTTGCTGTGAGCAAAGTTTAATACAAGAAAAATGCCAAGAAATTTCCGTCACGAATCGTGATGATCGACAAAAAAACTTTTCGGATCCTGATATAGAAACTAATGGACATTTATCACAGGAAAGTCCAGGGAGCGAGTCTCCAAATCATAACATTTATGTATCTGAGGAGCCTAATGAAATTGAGCCCACTAAAAGTCAGTGTGTAGAGCAAGGATTAACGAAACAATTGCGAAGTAATAGAGACATTGTCTCACCAGTTTCCTTAGAGATTACGGAGCATCAATTATCTCAAGTTACAACGCAGAGATTAGTCTGTTTATTCCAAAATGCGATACGGGCTAGACATGAAGAAATCTTATCTTGGTACTATTACTCTGATAGTTTTGAAAATAAAGTTATCGGAATTTGCCGTGAGACTGGAGTTACAGATAAAACTGCTAGAACACAATTATACAAGGAAATGTTAAGTCATCTACCTGGTATTACATCGGGAAACTTGCGTATGAAAACTTTAAGAGCCAAGAAAATTCGGAAAAGATGAAGTTGGAATAGAAAAAGTTAAGCAAGTTACCTACAGTATATATGCCATTTCAAGCCTTACTAATAGTCAAATTCAAAACGTTATCAAGAATGTAACTTCAGTAGAACCATTATTGGAAACTGCCACGAATCATAATCATGTGATTTCAAAAACCGTCACGAAACGTGACGATCAGACTAATGCGACTTTGGCCATGCCAGCTCCGCTGAAAAAATCAGATGTAAAAGTAAGTGTATTAGTCAAACCTCAAATCAATATAAGTATGTCAAATCCCAAGCCTCTGACTCTTCTGGCTCGATAACCAAGATAAATTTATCACCAATCTCTCAACCCAGAAAGATAACACCACACAGTGTTCACGCTTCCTATATCAACACAGTATTGGAGAATAATTCTTATCTATTCTTGCAACATAGTCATCCTGGTAGTGACAGCTATGCATTTGATAGTTTTGAAGCGTGTCCAAAATATAAGCAAGAACATAATAAAGGGTTTATAATTGGTAAATATATAAATGATTCTTATGATATTAAGTGTATGTCTTGTTCTCTAGAAAGTTTCATTGGATACGATTTTTAACTATAATATATATACTAGGAATTAAACGGTATATAATTCAGCCATTTTATATATTATCAAACCTTTAATATAAGTTATTTCGAATGCACAAAAAATGAATTCGGTTTTAATCATATATATCGAACCAAATCAAATAGGTCTAATAATCCTAAATACTATACATCTAAACATTATAAATCATTAAATCGCTAAATATGTATCAAATTAATAATAAGTCTCATAAATGCATTAGCAGACTGGATATTATAAAGAAGAATTTATTGCAATTTCTGGTAGTGGTTATGATACTGAAAGAGCCTTTGAGTCTGAAAAATTATATGATGAATTAAGCATAGTTAAACCAGGTGAATCATATATTCAGTGAAGTGTTCGTATTCGAATTCCTCTCCAAGACTTAATCTCAAAAGGAAGAAATAGCTTATATTACCGATATTGTTTATTTAGTGCTTTCCCTGGTGGAAATCTCAATAAATATAATTATTATAGATCTAAACCTCATAAAAATGGAACTGCATTATGTTTCGACTGTATGAAACTTATACGCATTAATGATGTAAAGCCAAAAAAGAAATTTCATCATACTAAAGGTAGATATGTGGAAATTCTCGAATCTAGCGATTTAATGAAGCATCATTGGGATCATGAATGTAATAATCCAAAATCTCAAGATAGATATGCTCGAATCATACAAACTGCTTATCGCTGATTCAAAGAAAGAGTACCATCAAATGCACGTCTTGCTTGGTTAAGTTTATCAAATGATAATATTCCAGATGATAAGAAATTTCTAGGTTTAACTAGTCGTAAAGTGAAAAATCCTCGAGATCAATTCAATCAGTGGAGAGCTGAGCAAATTGCATTATATAGAAGATGTAATGACCCACAAATGCTTAGCTTCTTTCATAATAGTAAATATAAAGAATATTATATTCCATACGATTGGATAGGTAGAAAGAAAAACCAATTACAAGATAGATTTAGTAAGCGTCTCCAACAATTAGAAGTGTAATACACAGTATATTAATACCTATCAAATCTATTTATTTGATTTTATGAGTTCCGCGTAATCATCAAATCCGAAATTGTTAGTTGCGAGAAGTATAGTATATGCGCTTTGGTACTAACTCTCGGTTATTATTGAACGTTAAACTTGGACAAGATTGTATTATTTCACTAATGCATCTATCAGTAATAGCTGTACACGTATCAAGACTCAGATATAGTAGCTTCGGACAATATTTTGCAATTTCCATAATTGGTATATTACTAAAACCATAACTTCGATCAAGAATAAGAA